CGCCCCCACCCCCCCCCCCCCCCCCCCCGCTTCAGCGTTTCACTTCTCCTTTGGTTCCCCGCTGCCTCTGCCCATACAGGCGGGGGTGAGCAGCGGGGATCCAGAGGAGAATCTGCAGGCTGTACCGCCTCACTTCCCCCTGCTGTCTGCATCCCCCCCCCACCTGCGCCCGAAGTGAGAGCCTTGATCGCCTTGCCCTTGCTACGGCCCTGGGAATGCCAGGTGTACCGGTTTAAAGTAAAGTAAAGGACAGGGTGACAGCTGCCGCAATCTGGTACAATTACATGCAAATTGGGAGAGATGATTGACACTGGACGCATTTATCCTGGCTCCAGGGACTATCCCAAACCGTATTTAATAGTACCAAGTACAATTACATGCGGACTGCAGCCACCGTCACCATCATTAACGTCAATGAGTACAGTGACTGCATCTGAACTGGGACAGCTGGGATTCCTGCCTCAGGAATCCGTAGGTTCTTGCCTTCAGGAATCTCAGAATGCAGCATGTGTCCCCATGCGAATGGGGCCTTGGACATAATCATGAAAATGCATAAAAATCCTTCAGCTCAAACAGTAGCCCTTGAGGTTGATTTCCTAAAGGGTAGAGTTGGGAATCTTCATCTCCTAAACTGGACGAAGATTCACTTTACTTATCCCATCACATGAAAAGCAAATTACTGTTTATTCCATCTGCAAACGATTGAGTATTCAAAATGAACACAGCTAGATTGTATTTCTTGTTCAGGCGCACGGGCCTATAATCTTACATAAGATCTTGCTGCAAATGTGTACGTTTGTACTGACCTTTACATGCGCACAGCATATAGTGCAAATGCGCCCTATTGGCTACAAAGATGCTAGGTGACTCAAGCTTCCTGTGTCCTAACAAAAGGAGGACACCAGGCGGCAAAGACCTGTCTGCCTCCCAGCAACTAAAGACATTTGGCAGCAAGGGCACAAGGCACCTCAAGCCACCTGCATCCCAGTAATGAGGCTCCAATAGAATACATTCCACTGCATGCTTTACACATGTAAACAATAGCACAAACGTGTCCATGCATACAACAAAAACAATGGTCCATATGAAGGATTGTGCATGCCGATTTTTCCATTTTTTTTTCTTTAAGGATCTGAACACAGTGCAACCTTACTGCTCTTTACAAAGCTTTGCACATGGGTCCATAGAAAGCAATACTTCTGCGTTCTCTATGCTGCACATGTCCATGAGCCCAAAGAGCGTTAAAAGCAGACCTTTACCCATATCTTTAAAATAACAACAAACGCACCTTTAGAAATGTTTAGTAATGACAATCTACACACACATCCTTCTAGATAATTGCCGGCTTTGTATTCTTTGTAGGGCTGCAACAACTAATCGGCATAATCGATTCTAATCGATTATTGAAAAAGTTGTCAACTTTTTAAATAATCGATTAAATACTAAGGGCAGATTACTAGCTCTACTATTACCTCCTGGATTTATAGCACATGTGACTAGGACATGTGATCATGCACTTTCCCCGAAATCTCATGCGATTACAGATGAGATTTCCCCGCAATGCTCTGCTGATGGCAAGGCAATCCCAGTGTGTACAGGGGTGTGGAATTCCTATCGCCCGACGCCCGGGACATGCAGTTTTGGGCGCTGGGCGAGTAGTTTGAAGTACATTCAGCCCGGCTCCGGACAAGCAGAGCTGAATGTACATTGTGGAGCCGCTGCCGCTTGTTTAACCACTTGCCGTCCGCCCGCAGTAAAAAAACGGACGGACAGCACTGCAGCATTGGCGGGAGGAGGGCGTCAGGAGGAGGAGGACGGGAGATCCTTGCTGATCTCCATCCGAGCTGATAAGGAGGTTTAACACCGCGGATGTCAACTGGTTAATACAAGTGGTCTGATCAGACCACTTGTATTAATTTGAGCAGCGGCGATCGTTTCTGCCCGCACCCCCCGCCGTAGTTTTCGGGGTCGCCCGCTCTCCCTGGGGACCCCGAAAACTAAGGCACAACGGCTCAGCCATAGAGCAGACGAAAAACGTCTGCTCTACGGGCTCTCTGTGTGTTCTCTGAGACCGTGGCGCTGTAATCACAGCGCCACCTGTCTCGGCTGTCAGGAACTACACAACAGCTGTTCTGTGTTGGAGGGCAGGTTCCATTAAGAGAACCTGTCGCCTCCAAACTATCACATAAGGGATTTTAATCTCCTATGTAATAGGAAGAACATTAAGGGGAAAAAGTAAATACATAAAAAGTTGAAGAAAATTTTAAAAGTAAAAAAAATAAAATATATAAAGATTTAAAAAATGAAAAAGTAAAAAAAATAAACATAAATAAAAATGAAACCCTGCTGCCTCCGCCATCTGCATGCAAATAAACGCATGCGTAGGACATTCTGCATGTGCTTTGAGATTGCAGCTGCCATTCCATGGTGGTAGCCAGAATTCTCTTACACACACATAATGTGCATTAAAGGGTAAGTTCATTTTCCCAGGTAATATGGAAAAATAAAAATTACCCGATGAAATCTGGCCGTCTCTCCCAAACCGCCAACCCCCTGGCTATACTTTACCTTTCGGCGAACAATCCCTCCCCTCCGCCAGTATGGGTGTGCTATCTGTCCCCCGTACTGATGTCCAAACGCCCCGATAACTTCCCCGATATTGGAACTTACGGGCAGATGAAAATTTCCTCTGACTGGCAGTGCCGTAGGGGAACATGAAGCCAGCTTCCCGTGCAATCAGGAAGCCGTGCGGCAAGTAATGACCCGCCTCCTGGTTTTCTGATTGGCCCGCGAAGCCGGCTCCTTGATGATTGGTTGGAAAGCCGGCATCCTGGCCAATCAGCATCCAGCCAGTTTCCCGGTCAATCAGGTCATTACTCGCCACCCGGCTTCCTGATTGACCGGGAAGGTTTCCCGGCCAATCGCAATCAAGCAGGCCAAACAACATGGACCCGGCTTCCGTGGCAATCGGGAACCTGGGCGGGATGTCATTACCTGCTGCCCGGTTTCCTGATTACCAGGGAAGCCTGCTCTACGTCATCGGAAGCACCGGTATTAGTATTCAGTGTCGGCGAGATCCGAAAGCAAAAAAATCGGTACTCGTACTCGATACCGAAAAACCGGTATTGGTGCATCCTTAGTTTTGATTAAAACTATTTTTTGTATTGGGACAAGTAGATTGTCGTGAAGGACAAGTAGATTTGGCCCCCACTTTAGCCCTTGGACAAGTAGTTTTTTTAAAAACTTCCACACCCCTGGTGCATTGCTTTGCCAAACTGAAGTCATTTTGCCCTTTCTAAGCAGGAAGTGAAAGTTCTGCAAGTGTAAGAATTTCACAATCACAGCATTTTACACCTGACATGTCTATGTTATTATTAATCATCACACATAGAGGGATGCATTGGTAGAATTTGATTTTTGAGTGTAAAGGTCCGCTGTAACTCTTCTTGGCTAGTGTAGGATACAATTATTGTATCCTACAGATCAGTTGCTACTTCCGCTCATCCCAAGACCTCCTGCTTTCCAGTAATATAAGTAATGTCTTCCTTATATTGTAAAGCTCTGCGCAAACTGTTGGCGCTATATAAATCCTGTATAATAATACTTCTCATTCTTTGTCACACAAAGTTACGAAGTAACAGAGAGATCGCTGAGGAAGAGAAGATTCTTCCTGTCTGCAGCAAACTCTTCCAGCTTCCTCCTTTCAGTCACACATAAGAGATTACGGTTTGGCCACTTGGTTGAAACTGAAAAAAATGCTTATTTTCTTACTAAGTTTGGTTGTTTTTGTTTTTCAAATTATACTGTTTCTGTACATTGTAAAAAATCTGTAAATTATTCATGCAACCTTAGAACGTTACCGGCAGGTCAGCTTAAAGAGCATCCGTCATGAGAGAATTATGAAGGTTGCAATTGTAAACCTCTCCTTTTGTCCGGCTGTCATGCTGTTGCATTGGCTTCAATGCTTTCCGAGTCACTTGTCCGCCACAAGCAAAAGAACTTCTGACACTCGTTTACAGCACGTGTGCTCTGCATCACACATTTAGTCCCCGTTCAAACCTAGGAGTTTTGTGCATGCACTTTGACGAGCGTTCATGAAACGCTTCGGGCATGCTTTAGGTGTAAACGAGGCCTAAGGCCCCATTTACACTGCTAAGAGCCGGCCCTTACAGATCCCTGCGGCGTGCACGGCCGTATGGGGCCGCCCCCGGGAAGGACAGGTGCTGCGTGTAATTGTACGTGGCAGCCTGTTCTTCTCTATGGGAGGACACGGCCGTATGCCGCCGTAGGCTCACCCGAACTGACATCCGTGCGGGTGT